TCCCTGGAAACTCAATTTCCTCCAGTTGCATCCCTCTGGAGAGCGATCCCCCAGTTTCCCACGATCCGTTATCCCAAATATTGAGGATTGGAAAACATCGCAAAGGTTTAAAGTTGTTTACTGCGGGCTGTGCGTGTATACGAGACATTGCACCATGCAAACTTCATATAATCATTCCACTTACCTTTGTGCTTATCCATTCTTCACACGCGAAGAAGACTTTGCCGACCGTCTGGTGTCTTTATATGAAGCAGATCAGTCCAGGTCCAGACTTGTCTGTGTCAGGTTTTCTTGGACAGTCCCGACTTCTCCGGCTGATTCTGATGTGATGTGACGTGACGTGATGTTATCCTCTCCTCTTCTACAGCTCTTTCAGATGCGCCTCTCACTGTTGCGCGACTGCCGCGCCTCCTCTGGCGCACGTCATTGCGTAACACAACTTTCTTTTGCGCTGTAGTGAATACTCTTTGAATTGAAAGAGTTGTATATTTTATATTTATAAGTTTGAACACTGAGCATATCTGAATACATTTCAGTGAGCATACAGTACTTTCAAAGTATATACAGGAATATAAAATACATTCCACCCACAAATATCTTTTATTTTATTTTATTATGAGCTGGTTTTGGTAGTAAATTATTATTGTTGTACATATGCCCCAAAATACAATCATCCTCGTCAGGCGACCCCCATCCTAAAATGTAAAATGCAGCTATATATTTTCATAAAATATATAGATGAATACTATAAATATATGTAAAAGTTTCTAGAAAATATTACATTATTTATTTATTTACATTTTATTTGTTATTATTGATATGTTTTTATATTTTTAAATTTTCCAGCTTACTGGTCCCTGGGCTCCAGTTTGAAAGCCCTTGCAATGCATTAGGGAATATTAGATAGGCCTGTTCCTAATTTTGACTTTAAGCCTAAAGCATTGTGTAATTATTATACCGCTTCACTAGCTATCCAAGATTAGATTAGGCTACTTATTGAATTAAATGAACTATATACATTGGGCAATTAAGATAAAACAACCCAATTGTTTAGGGCACGCAATGCATAAAGAACATATATAATCTGGATTACTACTGCAAAATAGTGCAAAGTAACTGGAAAAGTAAAAGCAATTTTAATATCACAGTTGCTGATTTTTCAGCCTATAAATTAATAGGAACCAACAACTGTTTGGTTACTGATGTTCTTCTAAATTTCTTCTTTTTTGCTCAACAGAAAAAAAAAGAAAATCATGTTTGGTGCAACTTGAGGGTGAGTAAATGATGACATGATTTGGGTGAACTATCCCTTCAGTACACCTGTCTGTGAGGGGTGAACAGGTTTATTTACTTCCTGTCCCTCCCTTTGAGTACACAAAACATACCTAAACAGGTTAGGGGGACAGGTTAGTCTGGACAGGTTAGGGGTCCACCACAGCAGCTGCATAAACCTGACAGGAATATTTACAGCCCAACCAAACTTGTTTGCTGTAGATAAGGACAATTACATCAGGATCATCATCATATCTTTGTGCCAATAGATCAGCGAGTGTGAGAACCCTTTCCTGTCTGTGAACTGGGCGAATGGGAGTCACATGCTCTGAGAAGCTGGCCCCTCCACCAAACCCCAAGGGGTTGCAAGAACTTTCCACTTCCCTGTCAAGACCTTTTCTGTGAACTAGGGGATTAGATGCATATAAATCATAATTTGTTATATGCTGTGTTTGTTTTCTTAGCATATAAGTAGGTCAGTGGTAGAACTGAATTCCCTTTTAACATAATATGGTGATGTATATATAGAGCGTGTCGATTTCCCATATGCAAACAACTATTTATATACACTATGTTTAAAAATTTAGATTCAGTAATTCTTTAATTAACACTTTTATTCAGCAATGATGCACTAAATTGATCAAAAGTGACAGTAAAGACTATAAAAAAAATAAATAAATAAAAAAAAAAACCAAATGTGAACTTTTAGTTCATCAAAAAATCCTGAAAATGTATCATGGTTTCCACAAAAAATATAAGCAGCCTAACTGTTTCCAACACTGATAATAATAAGAAATGTTTCTGAGTCAGCATATTAGAATGATTTATGGATCATGTCACACTGAAGACTGGAAGCTGAAAATTCAGCTTTGAATAACTTACATTTTAAAATATATTAAAATAGAAAACAGTTATTAAATTGTAATAATATTTCACAATATTACCGTTTTTACTGTATTTTTGATCAAATAAATGCAGTTTTGGTGAGCATAAGAGACTTTCAAAACCCCCAAACTTCTGAACAGCCGTTTCATTTAAGAAATGGAGATCTTCATAAAATGAATGTTTAAAGAGATCTAAACAACTAGTCCTTTGAAAATATGACCAGTGTAATATATATATATATATATATATATTTGTCATAAATATTTATTTTATTTTATTTTTTTGCCTAAATACCTTTCCATGCAATTTCCTTTTGTGACGCTGGTGGCGCTATTACACATCAAAGCAGCAGTCACTGTTTTGAATCTTAATTTTTCATGACCTGAATTTGTCATTGCCATTCATAGAAAACCCCACCATGTTGTGCATTACGGCACCATTTTTCAATATCAAGGCCGGATGTAAGAATATTTTTGAGCGGCAGTGGTTACTCATGTCTGGGCGACAGAGTAATCCCCTCTAACTGAGTCAGTATGGGAAGCCTATACAAACTGCCTTAGTTAATCTACCAGGTTTCCAGTCAGTATTCAGACTCAGCTGATCCTGTGGCTTTAGAGGTGGATGTGTGAATGAAAAACTGTCTGCGAGACGTGTGTGGGAAGGGGGCCTGACGGAGGGTGGTCTGCTTCCCAAACGTTTGTTTGTAGAGGAAAAAGTGAGGGGAGTCATTTTGTTCAAACTCATGGAGCATAAAAGGAACAATGGGAATACGGTTTTGAACAGACTTCAAGATTCAAGTTCAAAGGCTAACAGGTATCACATTTATGAAGAATCTGGAATGCCGCTCAGATGCTTGAAAGGGTTGCATTGTGGGAACATTGTTTGGATGCTGTGTATCAGCTGGACGTTGTGGGTTCAGACATTGGCAGATCCTCCTGGCTGCTACTGGTTGAAGCACAAAGAACATTCCACAGCTGTGAGTCAGAGAGCAGGGGTCACTGATTGAGCCCCATCCCAGCACTGGGGCCTTTCCCATGTTACACACATAGACATACACTCACAAAACACCATTACAGTCTTTGTACACAAAGAGGTGCTCAGAATGTGCCAAGTACATCAGTCAGAGCAACGGGGCGATGAGATGCTATCCATCACTGAGCACAATAACTGACCGCCAGGCGGATAAAAGGATAGAAGATGGAATACCTGGTCTGAAAGCCATATCCATGTTCTTCTGAAGTTCTGCCCTACTGTGCTGTCTTGCTGACTGTTGACAGTAATCCACCTTGGCAAGTCGTTGTAGCTCTTCACTCAGTCAGGGAAAGCAAGGCACCTGATCAAACTCAGTTCTGAGCTCCCATGGATCCTCGAGAGGAGAGCGTTATGTCATGAAATAATATTATTCTGCCACTCCCAAACTGAGCGATCAGGTTCGGTCTACTTTATACAAGAAAAAACAGGTTTTTGGTGTGAGAATGTTGAGAACATTCAGGGTGGCACGTATTGAGGCAAAGCCCCTCATTACTGCCACATTTTCATCAGATTGAGCTCAGGAAATACTGACGGGGCTTGTGGGGTCTGAAATTCAAGACCAGTGTATAACTGCCCTAAATGTTCAGTGGATACAGCAGCGAGACGAGGTGGATGAGGATGATGGCAAAACACAAACCAGGCATGAGTTGCCAGAACCAAAAGTCTGCACAGAAAAACATCTGAATTGGTGAAAGTAATGAATAGGCGTCCTAAAAAGCAAATCAAACCAAGCATGGTAATGAGCTCCACAGGATGGGAACCTTATGTATATCTTTTGGTACTAGTGTGTTCATGTCACAGTCTGTTGAACATGGAAAAAAGTGTGCAAGAGGGTGACAGTCGTACGGGTGACCAGAAACACCAATAAACACGTATTTTCTTGCTTAAATACTCCCATTCTACAGTTCAGAGCAGGACTAAACAGGCAAACTTCCATTTGTAACTGCCCTCTTTTTGCACAGGGTCTTGTATTTCCCCAATTCAGTATGCTTATATTATTATTATTCAAAATATTTTGTTGTATTATTAATTATTAATTTAGGTGGAGGAAATTTCATTTTTGAGCTGAGAGATAACAGGAAATCTATGTGATGTGTGTGTGTGCACAAGACAAGTGTGAAATGTTATTTTGGACCTAGCTTCTTAGAGGATAATTTGCATTAAATAGGCTACTAAGGTATGCATCTAGGGGACATAGTTAGATACCTTAAATGGACACATTTGTTGAACATGTTGTATGATTGGATGAGATAGAAGCATCCGGATTTGATTAGGGTATAAATGCTGAGTCAACGTGTCTCTCTTGGTCACACTCTGCAGTCAATCTGTACGCCTGTTGACCTTTTCTTGCAAGAAAATAAATCTTCAAAAGACTTTTTGTCTCATGCCTTTATTGAAATAAAATAAATTGCCACAATAATTTATAAAAATGAAACAAATCAATAAATACATATTGTAAATATGTAAAAATGTTAAGTGCTGTAAAAATGAGTGTTTAAAGCAATTATTAAAAATATTTAATTTTATTATTTACATTATAAAAATTAAACAAATCAATATATTAATATTGCCATACTATTATACTGAAAACATTTTTATTTAATAATATATTGATAATAATTATAAATGATAGACATTATACAATACAAATTATCAATCCAAATTATAATTATAATCAATACAAATTATAGAAATAAATAAAACAGCAAAACTACTGTACTGTAAAAATTATTTTAAACATAATTATTGTTCAGAAAAAATTATTACATTTTTATTATTATTTAAATGGTAAAAATCAAACAATTGTGCTGTAAAAAAATGTATATTTAATAATAATGTTTTTGTTATTATAATACATCCAATAATGGGTTATTCTATATAATGGGTCGTAAAATACAAATAAATCACATCCCTGACTCATTTCTTTCATGCAGGTCTTCTTGTACTGATGAGTCTGTCACAGTCTGTCAAACATGGATAAATGTGTCTTTCTGTTCCTACGGTGCAGGAGGATGACAGTGGTATGGGTGACCAGAAACACCAATAAACACTCATTCTCTTGCTCAAATACCTCTACAATTCAGAGTGGAACCATTGTAGAGTAACACAGTGCCAAGGCTTGTTTTGAATACGACTGACTCTGGAGCCTGGGAGGAGAGTGTTTTGGGAAACAGGTCATACCACTGGGTACATTTATCAGGCAGCAGAGAACATGAAGGAAAGCACCCAGGGATTTCCAAGTGACTCAACAGGCGGACCTCCCACTTGTAACGACCCCCTTATGGCACAGGGGCTTGTATTTCATGTAAAGTGCACCACACAGTAATAACTACGTCAGACAATATGATCTGAAGCAGAGTTTTATTACTCAGCAGAGCTTATACACCATTATCATCAAATCTTTTCCCTCAAAAACGACAGAAAAAGGTGAGGTACACAGTAGGGGGATCAAAACCAACTCTTCATTCTGTTTTAAAGTGACATACAGGTCTGTTTCTAGTAATCACACTCGTTATAGTCATATGTTTTGTGATACTATAAAAGCACAATGCTGTTATATGTCCTAGTTCTCTGTCATTAACCCTGCTAGTAACACAGGAAACTGCTGGGAATAATAGCCAACGGCGGCCCATAATACATCTGCAAGCCAAGACAGTGTCTGTGGGAACAGCATTATTCGGCAGCAATATAAATGAATGACAGAGATACGGCCCTGATATCGAGTCTACACCTGGCACAAATGCTATGGCTACAGCTCCGACAATCCCAAGTCAACACAGTGGCAGTATTGAAACACCTCTGATGCTGATGATACACGGGGAAACTTTTTTTGAGCGATGTTGCTTGGGCACGTTCCCATTGAGAATGGGTAACAAATTTCTATCTGGATAATTTAGATTGGTCATGGGCACTGTGTCTCACCTGGTTGCCCATTGACGCAACACTGTCCAAAGTTGCCCCGTGAATCATCAGCCTGAGGCAGTCATTTCAAAGGCTTTTCTTGCTTTATTCAAAATAAAAACGCTGTTTAATATTGCAGAAAAACCGGAAGTCACAATAAATGGATTGTCTGATTCAGAGGAAGCGGTTTCAGAGTGGGCCGATGTCTGTTATCGTCCCATGTCTGACCTCTATTGGCGACATTTAATAATCGTTTTTAAAAATAATTGAAGTTTAATTTTCGAAATAATAATAATAATAATAATCACCACCGCCTCTTCTGGCTATCAGACTAGTGGATTTTGGATAAAGAACTTATCTATTTCAGGTGCTGTTTTGGGTTTTGGTTATGGTGAACATGCTTGTTACTTTACATGTAGGATGGGATTTTTTTTTTAGGTTTGTGACGAGGCAGCAGAGTGCTGGTGGGACAGGACGCTGATTTCAGTTTCTAATGCCTTCCAGAAGCTCTGCTCCGCAGGTGGAGGATCTTCAGTAGCTCTCACTTCCCGCTTTTAACGCACTTCAAAGGTCTCGTTAGGTCTACAGCAGCAGGGGGGCCCCAGGGATCCCTACAACTCCACCACCCTAACGGCCTGTTTAGAGGGAGATCCCTGCTGACAGCCCCCGGGTCCCAATCTAAAAAATTACAGTCCTATTTTACAAGAGGGCCAGGAGGGAGGAGGATAAATCTCTCTGGTCCTGGAGGCAGGTTTAATGAGCGCAGGCACACCATCAGCTCCTCTCGCTCATGTGTTTGCATCTAGGGGTCACTGCATTTTGTTCCTATTCAAACACTCACTCATTTAAAGATAAAGATATCTAGATTTGTGAAAATAAAAAGTGGTCTTTTTGAAGCAAAATAAAACTATTTTTGTGCATGTAATTGGATGCAAAAAAATATAAAAAAGGAAAAAAATAGGACTATCGCTCTAATAAATCATATGAGTGACTATTAAATTAAAACATGCACAATCAGCTAGTTAGAAGAGCTTGGCTTTCTTCTTCATGTCATTGCACTTCCAAAGAGGAAGTCTGTCAAACTCATGGATCTCCATCCCAAAAATATCAAAGAATGTCTCGGGAGCCAAGTGACGCTGTACATAAATAAGGAGAGAGCAGAATTATTAATTAATCATCAGGCATGTGATCAGGTAAGAGCAAAAATTAACTTTCTCCCCCATTTGATATGACTACAACAACAACAATTATTATTATTTTATTAAATACAAATGTTCACTCTACAATAGTATATTGAAGTAATATATTTATTAGTTAATTTTTTTATCATTTAAATAAAAATATAATTTAATAGCCTAAGTGTTTGAGTATTTATCAAAACTAACAAAAACATTTTTTCTGCACAGTAGCCTAGTATTATTGCAACAGCAATTTTACACTGTTAATTATACATGTTTTTGTCATTTAAATAATAATACTTTAATAATAATAAATGTTATGTAAACAATATTTTTTATTATTTAATAAGTATGCGAGTATTTATCGGATTTACGCAAATCACAGGGGTCAAACTTTTCAGGTCGCAAAATAGGGAAAATAAATGATTTGATTGGACGAACATTTCTTGGTCCTACACCTTCCATAGAATATATAAATACAGATAAATACATTTAGACCATTTAACTTAATGATTGCTATCAGGATGTGAAGAAACTTTCAACCAGCATAACAAAAAAAATTTCTGAAGACAATCACCTATTGCACCTTTAAATAGGCATAATGCAATTAATCAGTTTTTAATTTGTTGCTTTTTTGGAGTAAAACACCAGTAGGGTGTATATTTAGAGACAATATCAAAAGCTTTGAATGTCAATGGCCAGTACTGCATGTAGTACAGGACGGTATAAAGCGGACAATCATTCAGTTTCCCTTCAGTGAGTCTACTGGGTGCTATTTACCTCAAGTCTTGTCCTGTCCACATCCTTCGGGAGCTTAGTACGCCCTCTGTTGGTGACAGTGAGCATTTCATATGGGTACACCTTTACAAAAGGAGGGATTGTGTTGTTATGGAGAATGCTATGCGAGGCATTTGCCAAACACAGTGAATTGCTGAAAGCAAATGGACGAGGGAATAATGCACATCATGTCATTACATTCTAACACAGCACACAAACATCAACTCTTGCCAAAATACAACACTACACACGGTGCAAGTGAGAGAGTGAGGAGCTTGCAGGAGGAGGTCAGAGCATGCAGAGGAACAAACAGTAGGTGAGCCTTGTGTGTGAGAGAGTGTGAGCATGTACTGTTTTTACAAAGCAGAAAGTCTGTGTTTCTCAATATAGGAAAGAAGTGCTGGTTAGAAGTAATATAGGCCTAATGCTTTAAGTGCAATATAGATACAGTTAGCAACACATAATAAACTGGTGGTGTGGTTTAGCATGGAGAAGAACAAATCCTGGTTCCTGTACCATATTCATTTGTATGGGGGAAAATAATAATGTGTCTTTTCCGCAAGTAACAGCAACAGACATCACAATTTATAATTTAAATAAGTTCGTGAATAGCAAATGCAGTAAGTAAATGTCAGAAAATGTCTCACATCCACTGACATGCAGCTGAAAACATTATAAAATTAGCTTAAGCTTGTTTTATGGTCTTCGTTGGTCTCTCAACTCTGTGGGCTGGTTTTATTGAGGTTTTTAACTGGTTTACCTGATAAACCAGCAGAAACCCACAAACCGTTTTTTTTTACTAGTTTTCCTTATGTATTTGCCTTTGTGAGACATTTCTTATAACTATTAATGTTGAAAACAGTTGTGCTGCTTAATATTTTTGTGGAAACTCGGATAAAAAAAATTTCCAGCCTTCTTTGATAAACAGAAAGCTAAAAAAAAACAGTGTTTATTTTAAATAGAAATCTTATAAAATAAGTTTCAAATCTTTACCATTACCTTTTCATCAATTTAATGGTCACTGAATAATTAATAAAAAAAAAACCTTGTAAACGGTTGTGTAATTCATATATAACTGTTGGATCAGCTAAAATGTAATGACCAATATTTCAATTAAATCGGTGTAGATTCATACAGTCAGTCAGTGTCTTATTAGTGCATATTATTTGTAATACATTATGCAAAGTAATCTTTGGTGCCAATATTATATGGAATTCCTTAGTCGTCTCTTATAGTCTAGTCTCCTTTTTGCTTGGCTAGAAAATGTTCAGAATGTGCTTTCAAAAAAATAAAAAATAAAAAATCTATAAATCTATTTATTTTCCCCCCTGAAATGAAAGGGTAACTGTGGTCACAGAGATTTGTTTTCCCCTACAGCTGGCCTGGGCGTTTTTGCCAACTGTATCTACAGGAAGGAATTATAGTGCTGTTAATGCTAGCACTTCTACAAACAGTTAACAGTCTACAATCATGCCAGTTATTGTTTTTTACATTGCTGGGAAAGCCTATTAAGTTCTAATCTATTTAATGTAGCCAATAACTATTAGCCATAGCTGACGCATGAATTTAAGTTCATTCCTAGAGAGTCAGGCTTCTGGGTAACTAAAGCAACCACTTTCACAAAATATTATTTATATGGTGATTATTTATTGAACACAGAGGAGTATTTAGAGATGGAAGAGAGAGGAGAAACATAATTTTTGAAAATATTCGGGATACTTGCTTTATATTCCAACATATTAGGCATAGACATTCCCCTGTCCATTCTTGTAATGGAATCTTGGGCATCTTGGGTGGGCTATTGAACAGAACACATACACGTGATGCAAATGATAAGAAAAGAAAGCAGAAAGTGTTTTCAAGAATTCAGAACCTTGGGGAATAGTCTGGATCTAATTCCTAACAGCTATTGCTCTGTAGCAAGTTCTCGGAAGGGAAGTGGATCCAGCCACTATCCATGTGATGTGTTCTCAGGGGTGGGGGATTTTTTCAACATATCAAACCCTTGACTGTGCACTTGTCTTTCCCCATGGCTCAAACTCAGACACAAGCATAGCAATGAAGGCATGAGTGCCATTCCGGTTACATGTAGCATGATTTGATTTCCATATGTGCACATGCTCAGTAAATACTGCGGGTCAGTCACATACCTTGAAATCTGTGTAAATCAGAAAGAAACAAATTCCCAAATGTTATTATATTATCAAAGAGCTTTTTCGGTTATTAGATGTATTTTCAGTATTAGACGAATTGCAATTTACCTCTTTGTCCTCCACACACATCCCCATAACTGTTATACTGAGAGAGTTCTGTAGACTGGGGCTGGAAGCATAGACAAAAAAGAAACTCATTAAAGATGCACTTTAGTTTAGTTATACTGGCCTAATTTATTCCACATGCTCAAGAAGTCTTATGCTCACCAAGACTGCATTTATTTGATCAAACATCCAGTAAAAACGGTAATATTGTAAAAATACTATTACAATTTAAAATAATTAGTTTTTATTTGAATATATTTATAAATAAATGTATTGCTCAATTATTATTGATGCTTACTTATTAATAATGGTTTTTATTATCAATGTTGAAAACAGATTATGCTGCTTAATCTTTTCATAAAAATTTTATACTTTTTTCAGCATTCTTTGATGAACAGAAGGTTCAATGAAAAGTATTTATTTGAAATAGATTTTTTGCATATTATTCATGTCTTTACCGTCACTTTTCATCAGTTTTTATTTATTTATTGCATCTTTGCTGAATAATAGTATTCATTTCCTTCTTTTTCTTTTCTTTTTTTAAATTGTACTCACCCCAAACTTCTGAATATTAGTGTATCATGATTTTTTAGATCATGTTTTTTAAAATAAGGGGCGAAAACTGTTTTCAACATTGATAATAAGAAATGTTTCTTGAGCACCAAATCAGCATATTGGAATGATTTCTGAAGGATCATGTGACATTGAAGACTGGAGTAATGGCTGCTGAAAATTCAGCTTTGCATCACAGGAATAAATTACATTTTGATACAGTTTTGCATGCATTTATTAAATATAGGTAAATAACAGATGAATGACTGAGACTTACCCGATGGAGGCCATTCCGTCCATATCCAGGCAGAGATGATGTTTTTACGGGTTGGGAGTCTATAGCAGAGGACAGAATACTTTTGTGTACTAATGCCAGAATAAAGCTACATTTGTTGTGGTTGCTTTGAAAGTATGTGGCATTATACCTGTGGTACAGTTAGCATACTGGGAGTCAAAGCGCTGGGCGGCCACACTTCGTATGTATCTCTCTTTGTTCATCTCCTTTTCCATCTCCTCCTTCAGAATGAGCTTCCCAAGTCCAGACTGGATCTGCAGTTAAACACAAGCATGTGAGTACTAAAAGTACAAACAGATTGAGGTGAATGCATTTCACTTTAGCATGCTTATTAGCCTGCATTTATTAGCCTTATTCATTAAACACCCCCAGTTACTGTGCAAATATGCAAATTAGGTGTGTTTGCATAATTATTTTAGTGATTTTGGTAATAAAACAATGCAGAAAGGGCGTGTAAATAACTGCAATGCAGCACAATTTGGCACATATATACATTTAAATGGCTGCTTTGCCTAAAAAGCAATGTATAAGCTTTAATACACGCTTGACCTTGCTGAGATGTTCTTCCTGAAGTTGTCGGCGTTTCAGTTGCTCTTCCTCTTCTTCATCCTGTGACCGACTCCTCCCATCTGAGCCTGCCCGTCCATGACCAAAAAAGATTTTAAAATAAAATAAGAAAGAAATAGGAAAAAAATATTGAGATGTTTGCAACATAGTCATGTCATTGTACCCCTTGGTGACCTTGAAGAGTTCAGTTGTACATTACACATGGAAAACAATGACAATGAGTTAAATAATATAAAAACAAATCATTAAAAATATAAACATGATCGGATTGAGTGGTGAAATGATTTTTGATTGAAAATGTATTTGATTTATGATTTTTGATGTACATAGATTTATTGGCAAATCTATGTCCCTGTAAATTTATCTATCCTAAAGTTTCCTCAGATTTACTGCCACTACAACTCTAGGACCAGTCAGATGGGAACATCAGGCCAAATTTACCACCAGCAATCCAAGAGTTCTCAATCCACAGAGCATCGTTTGAATTCACAGATGGCTTCCATTAGTTTTTGGTTACCGCCAGCAGCAGGAGCGTACCTAAAGCAGCAAGGGATGGAGGACATGGCCAGTAGTCGGTCTCGATCTTTGGGGTTTCGTCCGACCGAGGGGCGTGAGCAGCGGGGAACTTGGATGATTTGATGATGTCATCAGTGGACTTGCTTTGGGCTGCCAGTGCAGCTGAATCTGAATCGGTATTTTGAGGGGAACTGGACTATCAGTGACGGACTCTCATAGGCTGGCAATAAGTGTAGTGCAGGCCATTCAGTTCAGAGCATTTCAGGATTTTTATTTGTAAAACAATCAGTTAAATAGGCATAATGCAATTAATCAGTTTTTAATTTGTTGTTTTTTTTGGAGTAAAAACACCAGTAGGGTGTATTTAGAGACAATATCAAAAGCTCTGAATATCAATGGCCAGTACTGCATGTACTAGTACAGGACGGTATAAAGTGGACAGAGCACACATGCTACTGAAAAGGTACAGATTTTTATAATATTAAGCAAGCAGAAAATTTAGATTTTAAATAAACACAACTGTTCAAAAGGTGCCATTCAATTTATTGAAACTAGCCTGATGTGTAAATTTACAGAGTATGCAAGATAGAGACCAAAGCAGAGTCATCTGAGGTGTCACTGAATTTGTTATGGGATCTTGCAGGCTATTACTTCATGCAATTAGAATGCAGAATCAAAGTTTTACAGTGATTAGTAAAGAAGTAAGGATTTTAGTTTCTTGTTATGGGCGAGATGGTTGTGAGGAAGCGATTAAAGAAATTGAAAGAGTCTCAAAGATGAGAAGTTTATGATGCGAAATGGTACTTACATGTGAACATAGGATGTGATCATAGCATCATAATCACAAATTAATGGATGGATGGAATCAACACACATAAACAAACATATAAATGTAAATAATAAAAATAATTGTCAGAAATCATGCTTGCGCACAAACCATAATGACAGGCACCAAAAAACTTTTTTGGCGTGTAAAAAAGATAGATAGATAGATAGATAGATAGATAGATAGATAGATAGATAGATAGATAGATAGAATAAGCTTAAAACTTGAAGCAACCATACCATGCTGTTTGTAGATTGGTGGTTTTCTATACATGTTAATGCCTTGGTCTGTGAATTAGAAAATAAAGATCTAGTTTTAACAACACATTTTTAATACCACCTAAGTTACAAATCGTATCAGTTATGATCATGGTTTGGGGAAATGCGATGCATATACACGATGACCAAAATTTCTGAATTATTTGTGGCAGTACATGTACTCAGTATAAGAGGTAAACAAAATCTACCATCAAAACAATAAATAAGAAAAAGCATAGATGCATTATGGAGGGGACTGAAATGAAAGAATGGAGGGAGAGAGACAGAGCAGAAAAACTCTCTAGAGAAGAAAAACAGGGAGATGATGCTCCGGCTCCTACCTGGGATGTGGAAATGTTTAGGGGTCAGAGAGAGGGTCGGGGTGGCCGGCCGAGAGGAAAGGGGAGAACTCCGGCCACTGGATGGCTCAGTGCCTCCAAACAAGAAGAGCAGAATAAGCGGGAGAAAGAAAAGAACATAAAAAGAAAGAAAGAAAGAATAAAAGAAGGAAAGAAAGAGAGAATAATGCCGGAATAAATCTTCACTGACGGTAAGATGGACGAACAGAAAAGGGCTTTAATAGAGAGGTGACAGAGAGACGGACTGGACTGTGTGGGTCGGCCCCACAAAGAGAACAGGTGTAGAAGGACATACAGATTGGAAAAAGAGGAATGCCTGAGGAAAGCAGCATGCAAATACTTCAGTGTCATGAACACGGTAACATTCACCACCACAATAAAAGATAAATGCCTTTGTGTCTGATGGAAATATGACTGAATATCCTTTAAAAGGTTACTTTTTGCCTGTGAGGAAACAAATGTAAGCATGCAACATGCACATGTTCCAAATCTAGTGGCCTGCCTACATAGACAGCATTTCAAGACATCACATGCACTCCCCTGCTGTTACAAAAGGTAAGCATGTTGTCTCCTAAAATACTCTGTTTGGAAACATTGCATACACCCCTAATGGAAAGAGCAATCCCACAATCCACTGAAAAGACCTGCATTAATCCATAAAGGTGGAAAAATTGAGAAATGCTGCCTTTAAAGATTTTTTCTTTACTTTTTTTTTTTTTTTTCAATTCTAGTAATTCAAATTGGATTGTTTTATGCAATACTATGTGCTTTGTATTTGTATGCTTATTTAAATATTAAATAACAACAATAATAATAATTATTATTATTTATTGTGTTATTTTGAGTTAATAATAATAATAATTATAATTAGTAGTAGTATTTACTTGTTGTATGCAATTGATCAAATTTTTTATTTTGTTTTAATTTTGAGAACATTTCTTTACAGTTTTATGATATTCAATTATCTATTTTCATGGCAATAAAGTATATCCCCCAAATTATAATAGCAATTATATAATAATTATATAATGCAAATAATAATAATAATAATGAATAAAATATTATTATAATTATTTGGGGAATATGCTTGATTGTCAAAAATTATATAAAAGACAGACATGCAAATGTATGATACCCAGAATTACTGGTTATGCAGCGTTTTAAAATACAAGTAAGGCAAGGCAGCTCACTATGTTTTGGAACAGAGTTATTAGTATAAGAGTATTAGTAATGTCACAGTGACTTGGTTAAAAGTTGGTTAATGGACTGACATATAACTTGTTGGTTAATTAACTGTCAAATACACAGAACCAGCATGCTTCTGAACTGCCACAGGCACCAAATTGCTCTACACTGAGTAAACAACAGCCATGAAGCCAAGACATACCTATGCAGAAAGAATCTGTGGAGAGGACAGAGGGATATTACACACATGAGCATGTGATTAGTAAACTGTGCATTAGCAACTTGCATTAGATGTGCTTCAGTTGGATTTATTGATCAAACGCAGCCTTTGACCTCATAAGAGTGCCATTCAAGCGTTTCAACTCCAGGACTTCTGAATTTCTCAAACAGAGCTGCCAAAAGCACAGCTTTACAAGCTAAAAAGTCACAGTCAAGACAATTCAGCAGGCCTGAATCAGAGGAGGGGGTGGATTTGCATCTACGGAACGATATTGACACTGAAAATGAGGCGAAGAGGTCGGGCAACAGCCAGTCTTCAGTGTCACATGATCCTTCAGAAATCATTCTAATATGCTGATTTAGTGCTGAAGTACAGAAACATTTCATATTACTAGTGCTGTAAAAAGTTTAATATTTTTATGGAAACTGTGATCCTTTTTTTTGTTTTGTTCAGGATTCTTTCATGAATAGAAAGTTTAAAAGGACAGCATTTATTTGAAATAGATTTTTTTTTGTAACAATGTAAAAGCCTGCAACTTTTGATCAATTTAATGCATCCTTGCTGTATAAAAGTAAAATGAATTTCTTTTTTTCTGACCCCAAACTTTTGAATAAAAAAATAATTAAATAAATTAGGGATGCACCGATACTGCGCTCCTCGTACTCATACTTGTAAAAATACCCCGATACCAAAAGCCCATACCAAACAGCGTGTGAATAGAGCTGTGTCTGGAAAAAGAAACACTGAAAACAGAACAACAGAGAGTAGAATGGAGTAAGCCCGAGTTGTCGAGTGAATATCTCACAGACATCACTGGAAAGTTTGTAGTTCGGTCGGATATGTCAAAAGCAAGTAAGTAAAAAATGCACAAGTTACTAAAGTTATTTGACGGTAAGTAGAGCGAGAAAGAGAGAGAGAGAGAGAGTACGAGAGCGCACACTTCTGTTGCATGATCTTGATTGCTGTTCGCTCCATTAGCGCATGCATTTGGATTAAAACTAAATCGTAAATATAAAACAAACAAAAATTATAGGG